ACAGCAAGAGAGTATTGATTCCTCCAAGTTGTTCTCTGGCCTCCACATGGGTGCCATGGTAAGTGCGCACACACACATACACACATACACACACACACACATATATACATACATACACACATACATACATACACACACACATACATACATACATTCATAATACATAAACATACACATATGAAAGAAATAATGTAATTAAATTTTTTAAGTTAAAATATATGTATTTTATTTATGTAGTTTTTCACTTCTTATAAAGCTAAGAAATTGTTTTAACAATATATACAAATGTTCTGATAAATGAACAAAAAAAAGTTGAGACTATATCACCACCTTCTCCACTTCTATTATTATAATAGAAGACAGATATTTTATAACTAATGACTATACTATACTGAAACTCAGTTAATAGTTCCTAATTGCTAGAATTCATTCTTGGTATTAGAATGTTTGGAAGGTAGAATGTCTGTGGTAGTATTTTGTTTATCATTAACAAATAAAGCTTGCCTGAAGATCAGAGTGCAGAGCTAGCCACACTAGTTAGCCATAGAGGCCAGGCAGTGGTGGTACACACCTTTAATCCCAGCACTCGGGGGACAGAGGAAGATGGATCTCTGTTAGTTCAAGACCATCCTGAGCTACATGAAATTGATCCAGTCTAAAAGAGAAACAGAGCTTACACAAAGGTGATCTCAGCACTTGGGATCTCATGCCTTTAATCCTAGCTGGGATTAAAGGTGTCTGCCACCACCACTCAGCTACAACTAATAGTTTTAATTGAGGCATTTGCATATATGTATATCTTTTTTGGCTTTATGTGTATGAGTGTTTTACATGAATGATTGTGTGTGCCTATGGATGGTTGTGAGCTTCCATGTTTGTGCTAGAAACTGTGCTGTTCTCTGTAAGAACAGCAAGCACTTCTCAATCACTGAACTATCTCTTGAGCTCCATGTGTATCTTCCACATTGTCACAGCATTCTTCAACCATGCTTCTTATACTGATTTCTTTCTTTCCTCTATATTGTCCAATTAGATGGCCTAATAATGGCTATCAGGACATATCCTTTTTTAAAAAATTGAAATATGAAAATAAAAGATGTAACATTTGTAATCTGTGTCTGGCTCATTTATCATATGACTAGTTTCCTTGTGAGGATTTTATTTTTCTTAGTGGCTAAGGAATAATAATTTATTTATATGTATCATATATAAGATATATGTAAAGATTTAAAAAATCTTAAATGCTTCTAAGTATTTCAGACAAAAAATATACAACCTGTATTGAGGTAGTGTGTTTTCTTTTCTTTCTTTCTTTCTTTTTTTTTGGGGGGGGGTTGGTTTCCAGACAGGGTTTCTCTGTGGCTTTGGAGCCTGTCCTGGAACTTGCTCTGTAGACCAGGCTGGCCTCGAACTCACAGAGATCCGCCTGCCTCTGCCTCCTGAGCGCTGGGATTAAAAGCATGCATCACCAACGCCCAGCAAGGTAGTGCTTCTTAAAAAGTATCTCAAAAGTATGAAGCCATAGGTGAAAAGCACTAACAATGTTAAAACAGATTTTTATAGTGGCTAAGACTGATTGTGAATTACATCTTCAGTCAACAAGAAGACTGTGGAACTCCAATGTTTGCAAAGGAAATGAACAGAGAATTTGCACAAGAGTGAACACACAGAGACAAATGTAAAAGGTTCTAAGTTATGCCCATTAGGCTAATAAATATTAGGAAGTGCCAGTGGGGCATGCCTTTGATTCCAGCATTTGGAAAGCAGAGGCAGGTAGATCTCTGTGAGTTTGAGGCCAGAGTGGTCTACAAAAGGGAGTTCCAGGACAGCCAGGGTTACACAGTGAAACTCTGTCTCAACTCCCACCCCCCAAAAAGAAAAGAAAAATATATTAGAAAGCAAAATCTTGACTGAGACATAATGGAAGGGAACATCAAAGGGTGTGGAATATTATAACCATTTGGGAGAGCAATTTAGCAGTTCACTGTTTTGTTGATGAAATTTACTGTGCCTACAGTCCTTTTGTGGGTGCATAACCAGAGGTTAATTCTCACTGGTTCATGAGGATAGATGTATGGAAAGGATGCATTGCAGCTGTGTTTCTTTCATAGCTGGCAGTTAGATAAGTAAAGTCTAATTGATGGGAGAATGCCTAAATAATGTAGAGTATGTTGTATCAGTAAGAAATGAACTAAGTGACTATTAAACTATTTACAACTACTTTTGACAGACTGTCTTAGGGTTTTTATTGCTGTGAAAAGACACATGACCACAACAACTCTGATAAGAAAAGTATTTAATTGAGGTTCAGTCCATTATTATCATGATGATGAGAAGCATTGCGATGTACAGGCAGATGTGTGTAGACAGTTTTCCTGTCCTGCAGCCACTTTCAAATAAACACACTAAGGCTTATGTTAATTATAAATGCTCGGCCAATAGCTCAGGCTTGTTACTAACTAGCTCTTACAACTTAACCCATTTCTACTAATCTATGTGCTGCCCCGAGGCTTTTGCCTTTTACCTCTATCCCATTTTGTGTGTCTGAACCATTCTCCATCTGCTGGTGCCCCCCGTCACCCTGCCCTTCCTCATCCCATCTTTCTCAGTTTGGCTTTCCCACCTAGCTTTATCCTGTTCAGCTACTGGCCTGTCAGCTTGATTATTAAACCAAACATATCGACATGTATTCACACAGCGTACAGAAGGATTATTCCACATTATGTCTTCCTTTTTGTCTAGTTAAAAAGGAAGGTTTTAACTGTAACATAGTAAAATTATATACAACAAAAATAGTTATCAAGTATGAATTACAGTTACAATATCCAGTCTATTTATATTTGGCAAAATTAGAGAAAATAATAATAATAATAAAAAAGTCTTAACCTTGGTGAGTCTAAAGTTTTATATCTAATTTGCTTTCTATCATAAGTAAGGAAAATTGTAGGTTTAACTATTTACCTTTTAATATCATCAAAGACCATCAAAGACAGATAAAATGTTACCTAATGACAGGGATATCAGTAGTTCTTACATTTTAAATTAACCCATATTTCCTTTTTATTTAAATTAGAAACAATCTTATTTTACATATCAATTCCAGTTCCCTCTCCCTACCATCCCCCCCCCACGAACCCTCCTATTCTATCCCCCTTCCTTTCCGCAGGGAAGGTGAGGCCTTCTGTGGGGGATCATCAAAGCTGTCACATCATTTGGGGCAGGGCCTAGGCCCTCCCCTTTGTGTCTAGGCTGAGAGAGTATCCCTTTCTGGGGAATGGGCTCACAAAGTCCATTCGTACACTAGGGATAAATACTATTCCACTACTGAAGGCCCCATAGACTGCCCAGGCCTCCTCACTGACACCTGGGCTAGATTTTAATCTTTTGATTTTATCTTAAATTATACCAGTACTGAACAAATGTACTCGTATTGTATGTATTGAGAGTGTGTAAACAGTTCCTTCTATACATAAATTGGCAGGTATCCTTTTAAATACCTTTTCACAGGCTTTAAGAATTTGTGATTAAAGCTTGGCTGTGGTGGCACACGCTTTTTTTTTCTCATTAAATTAGAAACAAGCTTGTTTTACATGTCAATCCTAGTTCCATCTCCCTCCCATCCTCCCCTGGCCTCCACCAATCCCCTGCCCCATGCCCTTTCTTCTCCCCAGGGAGAGAGAGGCCTTCCACGGGGGATCGTCAGAGTCTGTCATATCATTTGGAGCAGGGCGTAGACTGAGAGAGTATCCCTTTATGTAGAATGGGCTCCCAAAGTCCATTCGTATACTAGGGATAAATATTGCTCCACTACCAGAGGCCCATAGATTGCCCAGGCTTCCTAACTGGCACCCACGTTCAGGGGGTCTGGATTGGTCCTATTCTGGTTTCCCAGCTATCAGTCTGGGGGAATACACTTTTAATTCCAGCATTCAGGAGGCAGAAGCAGGCAGATCTTGGTGAGTCGAGGCCAGTGTGGTCTACAGAGTGAGTTTCAGAATAGCCAAGGCTACACAGAGAAACTATCTCAAAAACCAACCAAACAAACAAAAAAACAAAAAAGGGAGTAAAGTAATGTATTGATTTATAGGTATTTGGTATAATTATGTATAGTCTATAATTCTTTAATGTAAGCCCTTAATGCTTTTTCATCTTACTATATATTGGGATCAAAATGTTTGCTACGTGAAAATAGAGTTTTCTTTTTGTGGTTCTGGGGACCTGGGGAAGTACTGAACATAGGGCTTTGTGCATGTGAGGCAAATGCACTGCCACCGAGCTGTGTCCCCAGCTGGACATTTCCCAGCACCTCACTGATTAGGTGACGTTGTTAAGAATGGGTAATATAAGGAATGTGGATGTGTTTGTTGCTCTCAGGAAACTCACTGCAGAAATGAAGACTATAATAATGATACAATAAACTGGTTGTTCTAAATAGAGATACAGACAAGATGTATTTTAGCACAGTGCAAAAAACATCTTACTGTTTAAAAAAGAAAGGTAGAGCCGAGTGTTGGTGGCGCACACCTTTAATCCCAGCACTAGGGAGGCAGAGGCAGGCGGATCTCTGTGAGTTCGAGGCCAGCCTGGTCTCCAGAGTGAGTGCCAGGATAGGCTCCAAAGCTACACAGAGAAACCCTGTGTCGAAA